TTAGTTATTTCTTATTCTTGTTATTATTAGTTATTTCGTTATTATTAGCTGTTTCGTTATTATGTATTAGTTTTTCCTCAAATTGTTAACGGTAATAAATTTTAAAATCTTTCTTTTAATAAATTTTTATTTTATTTTTCTTATTACATTGTTTTACGGATTTCTGTAATCAGTTCAGCCTTAATTCAGCTACTGAACATATAAATATTTTTTTGCTGTTCTTCTGTTTTTTGGCACGGTGCCAACTGGTAAGAACAACTTTATTTTATTTAGTTTTGTTGTTTTCTTTTTTTTTGCTGAAAGAGAAAACTTTTTTTGTTGCTTTTTTTTTTGCTGAAAAAGAAATTTTTTATTATAATTCAGAAATTAAAACTTTACTTTATGAAATGCATAAAAAAATTTAATTTTTTATTATACAGATATTCTAAATGGTAATTTAAAGGTCTCTTCTAAAAGGATGCTGATATACGCGCTTTAGCGCCATTGCGGCGCTTACTATAAATTTTTTTAAAAAAATTTCATTTTTATCGAGGTGCGGCGCTTGCGACGAAAAATACGGTAGTTCACTTTAAATACAACTTGGCCATGAGTTATGATAATTGATCTGAAATCAACTTCAATTATTACCCAAATCCGATAACTGTTTTGTAAACTATTTTAATATTCACCGTTAAGCTAGGACCATGAATGCTGTCTAGAAATTTAGAAAAGAAACAACCTAGACTACCAAAGTGTGCTGACTTCAACTTATATAACTTCACAATGGATAGCAATAGTAAAAAGGGGGGTCAACAAGTATAACAACAAAGTGTTTTTAATAAAGTTTTATGAAAAAATAATGCTTTTATCAAAGAAATACATTTGAAACTAATAAATTTGATGTTACAAAAAACACTATGATTCTTTATTGCAAGTAACACTAGGATTCTTTGTTATTTTTACACTATCTCGTAAGCCATAGCTTTACTGTAAAATATTGATAAAAAGGCCTAGACTTGAGAAAATGCCCCCCTGTAGTTTCACACAAATACTGATTGCCAATCAGTATAAAAAAATTAAAAAACACCTTCAATTTCCTTACAACACAATTTAAAAGTTCTTACTTTAAGAATTTCCTTATGAATTTATTTCTAAAAAATAGTTATCCTGATGTTTAGAGTAGAGGATTAATGTTAGACCATAAATGAACAATGAGTGGGAGAGAAAGGAAGATGATTAATCAATCCTCTGCACACCTGGTCAACATTTCCTCCCATTTACATATAGGTCAAGATCACCTTAAATGGTATGTACACTCACTGGCAAGAAAGGGGACAATTTTATGGTGGGGTGGAAGAGTTGAATGTAAAAGATTGAGTTAAAAAAAAGGGGTCACTCCTAGAAGTGTCCTAAAGGGGGAAGAAAAATGTAAATAGAAAGAGAGTAGAATGAGATAAAGAGTAAAAGGGAATGATTGTTTCTTAGAATTGTTCTAAAAGCGCAAGAAAATCTGAATACTTTGGGGGTGGAGACTGAACATTCTGCGTGTTCATGAAGATTAGAATCAGTCATTATTAAGATTTTTGCAACAAGCATATGTTTGAAATAAGTTCTTACACTGTTTCTAAAAAATTGGAAGTCATCCGATGGCATAAGGAAAATGATTCCATAATAGACAGAAGTTCAAGGCAATTCGGCATTGACAAAAAAAGAAATAGAGAGTGGATTGCTAAAGAAGTTTTACGGGCTAACAATCATAGAGAACAAAAAAGAAAAAGATAAAAGTGTGGAAATTGATCACTGACAGAAAACCTTTATCTGAGGTATTAGATGATAACCTCTTCACATTTTTAGTAAAAGAAAGGAAAATGGCTTTGCTGCATTCAACAGAATGCTAGAAGAAGCTTTGAATATAGAAGCCAGTCTTCAACTATCAGATTTCAAGGCATCGTCGATGTACATAAAACAATGGAAAAAAAGGTACGGTATTTCGATGCAAAGAGGAACTAATGAAAGCCAGAAGTTGCCAGCTGATCACGTGGAAGCTGTAAATAGTTTCATTCCAGCTATCCATTCATTGAGGATGAAAAATGAGCACACACCACATAATATACGGAATTTGGATCAAACCATGGCGAGGTTTGATGAACCATACGCTTGGATAAATGATATTGTCAGAAAAAGCACCATAAGAATCTCTTACCGCGGGTGCATAAACAGTGAGGATTTACAGTTACACTAGGAGCAACTGCATCTGGACATAAACTCCCCGCATTTGTGATTTTAAAGTAACAGAAAGGATGCATCCCATCTTGCGTGCTAAAAGACATAAAAATTCCACACAGTGTTAAGGTTACCTGCTCTCTCGATGAATGGATGATGGCTAACCTAACGGGAAGTTGGCTAACCAGGATTTGGGGTCCAAATGAGGAAGACGTTCAGAGGTTAATTATCTTAGATCGGGCCTCAATTCATAGAACCTCAAGTCTCTCTGAAAAATTAAAAAACCTGGACACATATATAGTTTTGATTCCGGCAAGGTGCACAAGTCTTCTTCAGCCAGATGCTTCGTAGATGGTGCCCTTTAAAAGTACGTTGTGAAGAGAATGGGCGGTCTTCATTAGGAACAAACAAAAGAACCTTGCGTAGAATCTAAAAAGGCCAACTCGGCAAGATGTGTGGTTTTGTGTCAGTTGTTTAGGAAGCCATCGCCGAAGAGACGATTTCTAACTCTTTTAAGCATTGTGGTATACTGAGTTGGATATATCCAATGCATTAGATGGAAGCAAAGATGGGCTTTTAATTCCTGATTAGCGGAAGTTAATATAAATCTATAGATAATGATGTTACTGAGAAAATGAATGAAGAGTGTGTTGATCTTATTTTGGACGATGAATCTGATATTTCTTGCGATGGATTTTTCCGATTCTGACTAATATAACTAAATAAATTATATTTCTTTTAATAAAATATTTTGTTGACCATATTTTTGATTTTTTTACCTATTTGCATGTGCTGCAATCATAGCAAGATTCAAAAATAAAGAATTGTAGTAGAATTTAAGTTAGATTTACTAATAAAAGCTTATATTTACTTTCTTTTGCTATAATTACTTTCACTTTTTTTTGTGATTTATACTTAATAATACACAACCAAATATAGTTGGGTTTTTTTTACGGCGCCGAGCATTTTCTTTAGTATCGTTTATTCACTTTCCTCAACAATGCAGCGATTTTTGTCAGAATTGGGGGGGGGTGACTTCATAGGTATTTTTTTTTAGAGTATGTCAGTTGTTGATTTGATGTGGCACTTACACTCTCAGATCTCAAAGAAACTCATGGGTTCAAGTCCATCAAACAAGACGGCATAATGGCTGTACAGAGCAAGGTTTCAGTAATTCATCAGGCTGCTGCATAGAACATAACAGTCGATTAACAGGTAATAGAAGAGAGCTAGAAACGGACACTCAGTCGTATTCATACTGTGATATAATTTACATAAAATTGAAGGCAACAGCTAAACGTTTAAAATTAACAATTACTTGGAAATATAAATATAACCTAATTACCTACCATTACAGAAAACTATATATTAACTCCTTACTTATAAAATTCATTGCAACCACTCTGCCCCCCTGACAAGTCGACGTTCAACTACCAAAACAGGTATAAACAAAGATCCAAGTTGAAATTGTAAAAAAAATCCAGCCCCACACTAAAGTATTCTAGCAGAGTAAAGGATTAAAAAAAAAAGAATAGAAAATCAAGCTCAAAGCAGGCATGAAAGTAGACAAAAATAAAAAAAAGCTGAACTTTTACAATGCAGGTCACTGGAAGGAGCGGGGGGGGGGAGGGTTCTATATGATACTGTGAAATTGATGAGATAGTTTATAAGAGCAACTTTTAACTATGCCGGGAGATTTTTATTTAATATTTAAAGTGGCAGAAGCATTTAGGTAGTTAACTTTAAATTTTTCTTAAATATAATTTTAAAATTTTGACCACTACTATATTAAAGAAGATTAAGCAATTATAGGAAGGCACGACTATTAAATTACTTACTAATGAATCCCATCTTCACAGTAACTAATTCAAGAAAAAACTTACTTCTACTTCCTTCAAGAATCGTGGCACTGGATTTTAAAATAGCGTGAACATGAATCACGCTATTGGATTTCAAAATCATGTGAATATGAAACGCGATATTAGATTTTTAAATCGCGTGAATATGAATCGCGATTTTGGATTTTAAAATTGCGGGAATATGAAGCACGCGGTTGGATTTTAAAATCGCATGAATATTAATCGCGCTGTTAGATTTTAAAAACACAAGAATACAAATTACGATATTGAATTTTTAAATCGCGTATATAAGAAACACAATGCATAATTTTTAGATTATGTGAATACAAATTGCAATGATTAATTTTTAAATAGCCTAAAAATACGTAATTTACAACTGCGTGATAATGAATCGCAATATTGGATTTAAAAATGCGTAAATATGAATAGCGACGTTGGATTTTAAACACGCAGGGAATACAAATCGCGATATTGTGTTTTAAAAACGCTTAAATACAAATAGCGATATTGGATTTTTAAATTTAATGAATGGGAATTGCTAGCACTATTTTTTAATTGCGTAAAAAAATCGCAACGCGTAACTTTTAAATCAGTTAAATATGAAAATTGATGATTGATATTAAAATCGTCCGATTAAGAATCACGATTTTTACAGATTTCAGCGCAGTTCCTAATATTTAAAATTCGTTTACTTCTCAGTGACGTTTTCTTCTGAAGGTTCTGTAACGTTCTATTCGTTACCACCCGTTTTCTTCTGACGAACATTTTCTCAGGAGGCTACTGCAGGGGGGAAAAGTTCATTCCAAGGCTGACTATTGTTCGGCGGCATGGGTTTCTCTAATTGGACTCCCCCAAAATTTAGTTTTTGGAACATGGTCGGAAATTTCAAAAATTTGGAGAAAAAAAGTGGATATCCACTTTTTTGTGGAAGTCTTTCATCCCTACTCAAAAATGGTACATTTAACTTGGGCTAGATAGGGACAATTGACTCACCATAAAAATAAATAATTTCGGTGGGTTTTTTTTCATTTTAAAAGTCTAATAGTTTTAATAAATCAGCTTAATTTTGAAATTAAAGTCTCTATAATATTTATTTCACAAAAATTATAAAATTCCAGAATGCAAAAATACCACATTGCTTTTTTTTCTTAAACAATATCTTCTACATAATAATTTTTGAAAAAGAAACAAAACCTTTTCTAATTCATTGCTTCTTTCCAAAAGTTCTTTATCTTTAGATATCAGTTGTGCTCGATGTTGTTCCGCTAGCTCTTTTAGCTTTTGAACCACTACCAATTCTTCATCAGACATAAATACTAAAGGGAAAAAAGAAAAGAAAACAATTTAATAAATTTCCACTTACATACATAAATGCTATTATATGCTTACTAGTCAATAACTAGTGCTAAAACAAAATGTGTTATTTGTTGTTTACCTTAAAACCTTTTCTTGGGTAATGAATGATATCACATTTGAGGCCAAAATTGATGTGATGATGGTTTTTACCATTAGTTAGATAATAACAATGACAAATGATTTATAAGATTAGAAAAAAGTATAACCAAAACAAAAACAAAAAATTTATCATTAGCAATTTATAAAGCATATAAAAATACACATTTTAAAGAATATTGTATGCATTTGCTGATAATTTTATTTCATTTCAAAAATTAATTTGAGCCAATAGTACCTAATTAAAATAATGCTTAAAAAATCAGACACAAAATTTTTATTTCTTTATATATATATATATATACAGTAGAGTGCCAATAATCCGAACCCTTATTACCCGAACTATGTCCGAATTCGTTTTTTTTTTTCCTTCCTTTTTCGAAGTTTAGAATACTTTTTAACTTACAGACAATATTTCTAAATTTAGAAGAATAAATAATATCTACTACATCCGAAGACCATATTTAATTTACAACGTTTTTTAGCAGTTTTCTTATAGTAGCCATACATACATGTATTGTTATACGGTTAAACCTACATACCCCTTTAGCCAGCTTCAACTGAAAATTATCTTCCAAGAATGCGAGTTTTATTTTGACAGTCTATAATGGTTGAAATGCAGAAGGAGTTTATGAATAGATAAGTGGTGAAGTTCTACAATTGGGGAATGGGTAGTTGTCACTTATGGTTAATGATTAGTGGTTACAGTGCTTGGAATCTTAAATCTTGGAATAAAATTCTTAACAGAAAAACAAACGAAACTGAAGTTTCTGAACCAGCAGATGAAAAGATGCCAGGTTATACAGCAGAAGAAATAGAAGACTGGTGTCGAAACACTGATAATGACCCAGGATTTCAAATTTTAAATGACGATGAAAATTGTTGCTGAAATTTTGAATGAAAATCGGAACTCCACAGACCAAGAGGAAGAAGTAGGTGATCAAGTTCAAGATAGTGGAACTTCTCATATAGAAGCATGCAATTCATTAGATATTGCAATGAATTGGCTAGAACGTCAAAATGGTGTTGATCCAGTTCAGTTGATTCGCTTAAAAAGAATATGAGATATGGCTGCTCAAAAAAGAGCATCTTCTCTGAAACAAGTCTTTGCTGGATTTCCTTTGAAATGGAAAATAAAGAAAAATGGGGTAAAATCAGTAATTGACAAAAAAATATTAAAAAAGCTTAAATATGATACAAAATAATTCAAAATGAAAAAAAAAAGTTTTAAAAAAAATATTTAAAAATTGAAAGAAAAAAAATTTATAACGTTGCCAGAGCTATTTTAGATAGTACTACCAGTCCTAAGCCTAGAAAAAGTGTGAAGGGAAGTTAGTCCATAAATAATAATCATTTAAACTAGATTTTAAACAACTTCTCAACTATCCGCACTTTTCATTATCCGAAATTTGTTCGGTCCCGAGCAGTTCGGATATTCAGCTCTCTACTGTAAATCTTTTTTTGAGAATTTGGATTTTTAACTTTCTAAATATGGCAAATAAAGTTAAAGTAGTTTAGTTTAGGCACACAAAATGGTTACAAATGTAACACATTTGATGCTACTTATCTTCTAAATTAGAATGATATACCCTTACAAATAGTAGTTTTTCTCTTAAATAAAATAAAAAATTAGTTTGAAACCTTTGTATGAATCCATTTTGTGTTGTTTTTAGAGAATATAAATGAGAGAGATAAAGTTGAAACTTCTTGACAATGCTAACTGAATAAGAGTTAATGACTGTTTTAATCACTTTTTCTTTTTTTTTTAAGTGTTGTGCATTATGCTAGTAAAGGGGAAGTTGTCTATAGATATGGAGATTATGATGTATAATTCTTTAAAAAAAATGATGAACTTGGTTTTTCGAATCATAAATTTCTCTATTTTCCAGAAGAAAAAAAAAACATTTCTGAAATCTCAAAAGAAGAAATAGTTACCAAATTTCTATCACCAATAACTGGTAGAACTAAAAGAACTGTATCTCAGTGAGTATTTAAAGTTGACATGACATTTTTTTTTAAATGAAATATAAAACAAATATCAAATTGAATAATAAAGTAAAATGCATTGATTTGTGTTCAAAATGTCAGTATAGAGAAATGCTCAATTATAAATTAGTATTTTAATTAAAAAGCCTCATGATTTATTCTCTAATAAGGCTTAAATTTAAATTAATTTCTCTTTGGCTTACGTCATCATATCAATTTTACAACTCAACATTAAATAGATATTAGCACTTTTTCTAATGCATGCATACTTATATACAATTTGACATTATCTTTTCAATAACTCAATTTAAATTTACATTGAAAAAAATATTTTTATTCAAAATTTATACCCTTAAATATGCCTTATCAAGTTGTAATAAATTACTATTTATGAAGTTTTTTCAAGCTAACTCTGTATAATGGAGCTAGTGTGATTAAAAACAACCTTTTTTAAAAGAATTATTATCGTAAAATTAACTGAAACGTATTATGGTAACTTTGTAAGTTCAGATCGAAAACAAATTTGTAAGAAATGTCCATACTAGCCCTCTTTCACATATATAAGATAACACAAAGAAAACAAAAAAAGCACTGGGAAAACAAGAAAGGGAAAAAAAGTATTTCATTAAATAAAATAGAAATTATTACAAATATAACCTTATTTATATCTAAACATATAAAGATATTATTAAAAAAAACTGCAAATGTACAAATTTATTTGAAATGAAAAGTTTCTTGTGGCTAATATCAGTGTTATTTTAAGTTTATTACAATAAAAAAATGTGGAATTCCGGAGTGTGTGTCCCCGGAAAAAATATATTAATCATGAAGTTAAAGATGGTTTTCAAAAGAGAAGAAAATAGAAAAATAGGATATCTACAGTTCCTGAATCCCTGGTAGCTTAACATTTTACTTGAGGCTGGTACAACATGTGTACCAGTACTACCATACCAATCAGTATACCCAAGTGATATTGAACTAAAATTTTAAAAAAAATGAATTTACTTTTTCTTGAAAGTTTTAACTTATGAACCCTATAAAAGTACAGATACCAATAGATAATATTTTATACACAGATCATACATGAATATAATTTGGGAATTAATTAGCACTAAAGAACATTATGTAATACAAAAAGTACACCTTTGCAATCATTAGGTGCATGTTTCTCCTTTTCAGTTATAAGAACACTTAAACGCTTGTTTTCATTTTGAAGTTTTACAACCAGAGAATTTAAGTGATAAGTTTCCTTCCTCCAATTTTCTTCAATAATTTCTAGCTCCTAAAAATAATACATTTATTAAACATGAAATATTAAGGGTTATAAAGCATAAAGTAATAAAATAAGATGTATTAATAAGAAAACATAGAATAAAAGAGACAATTACTGGATGTTTTCAAGTTAAAAGCAAACAGGAACAAAGATTAGATCTTGTTTATTTCTAATTAGACAGTCAGTGCTAACTTATGAACCAACATCATAATATTTATCAAAACAGATAAATAAACAGAGCTGTGGGATTTATCCTCAATAAAAGAATTTTGTTTAAAAATTGCAATAATGTTAAATACTTATTTTTGAAGTAATTTTCGTAAAAAAAAAACAAGCTATATTTTAGTTACTTAACTGGAATAAACAATATTGCAAGTAATGTATAAGTAAATGTCATTTTCAGAAGCAAGTAAAAGTGTTTGAAACTAAACGGATTAGAATTCTGCAGCAAAATGCTAAAAAACTATCGTTTTCACATCACAGTTAGAAAATTTTTAACCTATAACATTCTACGAAATAATTTGATAAATATTTTTATCATTAATAATTACATATTTATGTATGCACATAACATAATCAGATATTTAACAATAAAATCATATTCATTTATGGTTTAAATATTAAATACGATAAGCAATTCTGTTTAAATGATATCCCTATATACACTCATGTCAGCATATGAATTTTACAACTCAACATCAAATAAATATTTGCAAGAACTTTTCTACTGCATGCATACTTAAATGCAATTTAATATTATTCTTTAATAAATATATTTAAATTTATGTAAAAAAATATTTTTATATAAAATTTATTTGGCTAAAAATATTTGCTGAATAGTCGATATTTACTATTCGGCCTACCTAAATAGTAGCCCAATATTCTTACATCTCTAATAATTAATTTCCTTTTTCCAAGTATTTTTTTTCAACTGAGTCCACTTATTAATAGTTCTTTGCAATGTTGTATTATGTTCTTCATTTTATGAGACTTTGAATGTTTTACTTCAAATGAAGAAAAAAAAAAAGCAAATTAAAAAACTATAAAGTAAATAAAATATCCTTGCAAAAATAAAAGCAAATGTCAAGACCAAATTTTTTTAGACCAAAAATTTCCGCGTGGCCATTTTTACTCATTTAAACATATTCCGTAAACCTGAGTAATAACAAATATTGAGAATCAGTTTTTAAAAAATTATACATTGAGATCAGACAATTATTGATGAACACTTTAATTTTATTTAATCTAATAAGATTCATAAATATTAAATAAAAGAAATTTTTGGAACTTGTTAAAATTTAAATTTAACTGCGGGTGTCATGACAATTTAATGAAACTAAAAATTTAAAATATCAGAAAGTCTCTCTTTATTTCTTATTAATATTATTGAAATATTTAAACAAAATACAAACAATTCAGTTGCTAAGGGATTTCAAAGTTTAAACTGAACTAACCTAAAATTAGAAAATATTATTTCTAGTCCAGCTGTCATTAGAGAAGCAGCAATTCAGGAATTGTTTTGGATTTCAACTGATATTCTAAATTATGGCTTTTTGCCAAATTCTAAGTTCAATATTCTTAACTTCATTTTTAATTACAGATTTTTTTTTGCAAAAGATACCGTAGATAGAAACAGATTCAGTCAATAACAAAGATCTTTAATTAAAATTGAGGCTATTTTGGTCTAATTTTTTTTAACAAACTCAATTTTTCTTAAACTGGAAAATTTATTTCTAAATTCTTTGTCTACAAAAAAAATCTTATTCATATTGAATACACATAATATAATGTATTTTAGAAAACCCTGAACAGTTCAAGTATTATGTGTATGCATATTACCTACACATAATTTATTTTATAGACAATTAACATATAATTTAGGAACATGCTTTTTTTTTAATCACATACTTTATTTTTTTCATGGATTTAGTTCCTTTGTTCCTCATAATTTTGTTTGGAAAAATCAGATTGCTGAAACATGTTTTGCTTCTTAAAATTTTGTATAAAAAGTTATTAAGTTAAATTGATAATTTATAAAGCAATGAGGTGATAATTTCAAAGTACAATTTGGCTTGATAATTGCAAATAATAAAAGTGAAAAATTCCACTTGGTGGGTATAAAAATGGGTTTTTTCATGTCCCAATCCAAAAAAAAATAGTGTTTTTCTTTCGGGGGGAGGGAGCACTTTTGTGAACATTGGTGCTTAAAGAACAGAATAATTCTTCTACTTGTTTTTTATCATCATGATTCATTAAAAATAAAAATTTCAGACACAATTCCAAAAAGTGGCAAACCTACACAAAACTCTGGTAACTTATTTTGTTTATCTTTTCCGCAAAAGCACTATAGAATGTTATATGAATTGCACACATGTGCTTGCAAAAAACAAGTAATATTGTCATTATCTTAAATTAACAGAATAAAATAACTAAAAAAAATTTTGATATTCCTATTTATTCACAATAATTGCAAATTGTATGAAAATTATCTTTTAGAAAGGGAATATTTCCACACAATGATCTAACAGATGTAGAAACAGCCATCCATATCTAGATACCTATTTCTATATCTATAATGGCCAAATGGATTTAAAACTTGCATTTAAAAAATAAATTAAAAAAATATGTAAAGGTTTCTCAGGCTACAAGTTACACCTTTCCAATTGATTGGAAGTTACCAAGACTAGGCGATTATTGTGCTGCAGATCACGATACTAAAATCTTTCCTTTAGGAGGAAAAAAAGTAAAACATAACGTAATCATATATTATAGAAAAATGAGATTTTGTGAAAGATTCATTTTAGAGTTCATAATTTAGCGTAAGTTATGTTTGATTAACTTCCCTAATGAGCTAGTGATTAAGCAATACAAAGAAATTTTGTAAAAGATCTTTTTTTGGAAACTTAGGGTTAACAGATCATCTCTTTATGGTTAGTTTTTGTTGACATTCTATATCGAAGCGTGAACCTGTCGCCTAATCGGTTCTTGTACTTTAAATAAATTGAATTAGTAGAGTGGTTTCATTTTAAAGTTTATAATTTAGTGTAAGTTATGTTTGATTAACTTCCTAAATGAGCTAGTGATTAAGCAATACAAAGAAATTTTGTAAAAGATCTTTTTTCGAGACTTAGGGTTAAGAGATCATCTCTTTATGGTTAGTTTTTGTTGACATTCCGTATCGAAACGTGAGCCTGTCAACTAATCGGTTCTTGTACTTTATATATATTGAATAATAGTACAGTGGTTTGAGCAGAGGATGGAAATGTTGCTCTTTCAGTTCTTATTTTGGGGATTAATTTCTTTCTTTATATTATTTTTAATTTTTTGGGCTCCCTTGTGCGGTTGTCTCTAAGACGTAGTAGTGACAGTAGATTTCACACTACACACCTGATCAAGTTTATTCCTGAATTCAGCTCGTTCCAATTTTTCGTACTCAAGCTGCTCAACTCGAGCTTTAATTTCTAGTAATTCACTTTGAAGTCTATCAACTATAACAGTGCTCGATTCTAAATATTCAAGAGTCACTATAACTTTGGTCATTAGATTACGAATATTTTCAGTTCCACAGGCGTCAATCAATTTTTCAAATTCTTTACCAATATCTGCTGCAAGATCGTATACATCTCCTACAAATAAGGGTGAATCTACATTTTTAGCCATGTAATTGAGAAAAGTAATTTATAAATATACGATGCAAATTAAATACTAAGATCATAGCGATCAGCATAAAGACATTATGTACAAGTTTAAATAGCTTGACGCTTACTGTGTATGCAAACTTATGAATGACTATACCATCTGTTGAACCCGACATCTGGTGTTAAATAATTATACTATCGATCATAAATTCGCTTCGCGCATGCGTGAGCAGTTCGTCTTGCTCGTAGAGGTTAGTAGGGCTGGTATTCATAATGGAGCATTTTCACTGCATGCAATTTGCATATGCTATCACGCATGCAATTCGCGCATGCGTGAGAAGTTCGTCTTGCTTGTAGTTCTTAAAAATTCGTACGGAGATCTAGAAGAGCATTCACACGGCATACGAAAAAAAACCGCACATATGAATTCTAAGATCCCAGCGAGAAACTGATTTGTGAGGTTTTCGCAGGTAAATGTATTTCACCAATCACATCTGTGAATTTTTTGCACGCAATGTGAATGGCCCAGAAGGCACTCGCAAGCAGTGCGAATGGTTCATTAAGGGTTTTTCTCACTAATTCGATATCGATGAAGGAAGAACGAAAACCATAGGCGTATCGTTGAATAGGAGGTTTAGGGAACCATTTGCCACCCCCAAAGAAATATTTTTTTCTCTACACTTCAGAATTTTTTTTAAAGTTATCATTTTTTTTTCAGCTTCAAAAACTCCAAAATCAGTACCTCTGGGGTACTGGGTTGGAGATAGATCGTGCTCTGGCTCAAGTCAAGATTACAATTTGCGTATGCGTGGTAAATGTGTGAATGTGTCTTCCATGTAAAATGGGATGTCATCAGGGCCGGATTAACCTATAGGCACAGTAGGCACGTGCCTAGGGCCTACGAAAAACTTGGGAGAAAAAAATTTGTTGACAAAAATAATTTAGCTTTAAAAACAACAAGTGTATTTTGCACAAAAATATGAAGAAACATATAAAAATATAATATTTTTCGGTAATAAATTATTTTTCAGAATCTTATGATCTAATATATTACTTTTTCGCAATTTTTGGATTCAACGAAATCTTGCATTAGCTGTCGAATTCCAAGACTACGCAAAATTTCGTATTCAATAGACATAAGTGCGAGCGATGCTAAACGATCATTGTTGAACGCAAATAATTTTTTATCAATTTTAATCTGGAGAAAGATCTTTCTCCTTCTGCATTTTATCCAAGAATCGACAAATATATTCTTAATGCAATGTGAAAGTTAGGAAAAGTATTCACAAGTTTATCTTTAACATTGTTATCGATCGAACTAATCATAATGGTATTATCGATATTTACTGCAATATCGGCAGTATGTCGGTATTGCAGATAAAGTTCGATAAACAAATTTGTAAAATAAAATCCATATTAATAAAAATGCAAAAAAAAATATGCAAGAAAATTTTAGCATATATTTTGAAAAGAGGGGAGGAGTGGGGGAAATCTGCCGTATTTCATAAGATATTAATGTTATTATGTAATTCTGAGAAGTTTGGAGTGAAAATTTGTTTTAGTTATTTTGTTATTTATTATTAAAAAAGGTGACATGGTTGCTAGATTTTGAATAACTCGCTTTTTTGGCAGTCTTGATTTGGCCTCTTTCCATTTGTTTATTACTGTTTGTTCGTGTTGCAAGCTGTGCACCATCTTACGTTAGTGTTAACACTTTTAGTATTGTAAACAGTATTGTTAGCATTGTAAACATAAGTAATAAGTAATCAAATGCATTGTTTGCAAGAATCTCAAAACACAATGATGCCAAATGGCTTTAAAATGCAACTGAAACAGTAACCCGGAAATTTAGGCAGTCCCGAGCTTGCAGCGCTCCCTAGTGTAGAAAACACCATCCATTGTGCAGCTCTAGAGCGATGTAAATAAAAAAGTACCAAGTCCCAAAACAACCTAGAGCTATTTTTTTAATTTAAAAATTTAAAAGCCTTAAAAATCAGAATTTTTCGATAGTTTATATATAACTGAACAAAAATATTTTAAGATTTTAAGAAAATATTTCAAGATAAGTATTATAAAGCATATTTTCTCCCTTTCTGTTTCTTTTTTTGTCATACGTATTTATTTATTATTTTTTTTTTGTCATACGTGCAAAACATGTAATTATTAAAAAACTTCAGTGCCTCTAATAATTTGATATAGATATTACAATATAATAATATGATAAATATTCTGTATTTTTATAATATATCATCTAATTTATCAAATTGTCAAATTTATATGATATATCGTCTAATTTAACAAATTACAACCGTAACAAGTGCAGTAACGTAAACAAGTGCAAACCGGTTTCAGTCACATAAAAACAATAAAGCTGTATAGTATCACCCTATAATTGGGATTTTACATAGAATCTTATAGAGTGTCTAATAATTTGGCCAGGGACTGTAGGTCCTTCTTTCCCTAGAGGTCCCGACTCAAAATTTTCCTCTCAACTATGAAAAACGCCATTTTACGATTAAATATTGCTAGAAAGATCTACCTAATAGTGAAATTTCTCACTCGATTATTTACTAAGCATACTATTTTTTCGAAAAAGGATTATAAATTTTTTTTGTTTTGTTTGTTTTTGTTTTTTGTTTCTTGTGATTTGTTAGATTATCTACAATAATGTTGTTGTTTTATAAGTCACAAAAAGAGTATTAAGATACCGAACATGGTTTCCTTTGTTTTCTCAATATTATTTACAGCTACGTTTGAGGGTTACACATTTGGCTGTCATTTTAATTATTTTTCATAATGTTTTGGTTCAAAAGAGTTATTATCTATTTTGGTTATAGACATTGTTCTCCTTTGTTTTCTAGTTATTATTAATAGCTGTATTGAAGGGGTCATTTGGCGGACTCTTTAATGATTTTTAAACAATTTTAGCTTAAAACAGAACTTTTATATTAATAATCAAGTCAAAGGATAGGTGTAAAAAATTTTAAGAATATAAGCATATGCTAAAAAACAATTATAAAAGTTTTTTTTATTTATTTTTATTTTTAAAAAAAGAAGTATTTCGTCCTTATCACTATTGGCGATCGAAATGGGCTGCAGGTGGCGTAGAGCAGAACTCTTTTCCTATGGCAACACTTCACATGCTTTCCCCATTAGCGTGTGGAAAGTCATAGAGGAAGGAAGCACGTTAGTTTCTCTCTTGATTTTCATATAGATCAAAATCTTTTAACTTGAAAAACTATATGGAACTGAAAACTACATTAAACATAGTTCTAAAGAAAAGTATCGTTGAAATTTTAAAGAATATTTTTATTAAATAAAAAGGAAAAATATTAAGAAAAGGAAAAATATTGTAGTACATTCCTATACAACTGAAAAGAGGAGGAAAGGGAAGGGAGAAGGGCTAAAGGCATGAAACCGGTCTCTCCCCAGATGGCGTATTCGAGTGTTGCGATCGCGAATATAGATAGCACAGATGTCGCAATAATCGATGATGAGGCAAATATGACGTAAGGCGGGTTAAAAAATTCTTTGTAGTCTATATTTAACGTATAGTATTGTCTCTTTCTTTAATATGCATTGCTCTGCTGTGTTTTCTTATTATTATTCACAGTTGCTCAGGATGATGAGTTGAACCGGGGTTCGATCCCGGTCATGATGAGTTGAACCGGGGTTCGATCCCGGTCATGGCTGGTCGATACGAATTCCGCATCCGGTTTGCACCGACCACAGTGCTGACGTGAAATATCCTCAATGGTAGACGGATCATGGGTTAGAGTCCCCTTGCTGTCAGGCTAACCGTGGGAGGTTCTCGTGATCTTCCTCTCCATGTAACGCAAATGCGAATTAGTTCCATCAAAAAGTCCTCCACGAAGTCAAATTTCTCCCAATACTTGATCCAGGAGTTCCCTTCTCTTCTGGATTGGGTTCAAAATGACAAGGCTACGGAGTTGAACATAAGTAGTCGTAAACCCAAAAAATTGGGTCGGCTGTTCAACGACGGTAAATAAAAAAATAAAATATTATTCACAGTTGAGCTTGAGAAGGTAATTTGGACATCATGCTAATTACTTTTTTAATATTTTTTTTGTTTTAAAATTTTTTTAATATTAATATCAAAACAAATGTTGCTAAAATCAATGATGATGCAATTATGATATGAAGCGGGTAATAAAATCTTGTGCATCTATATTTAATTTATACTATACTCTATTTCGGTTATAGGCATTGCTCAGTGTTTTTGTCTAATTATTATTAATAGATGATTTTGGGACAGTTTCTGTGGACACTTCAATTATTTTTAATAATTTTTTGGTTCAAAGGAGAACTTTGATTTTAATATCAGATCAAAGAAAAGGTGCCAAATTTTCTAAAAACACGTAAATATGCTAAAAAATATTTATAAAATGTTTTTAAAACTATTTTTATTGTCCTTGTCACTCTATGTATGCTCTCTTTTATTTTTTAATGACTATCAATAGCTGCTTTTGAGAGACCATTTGGGGGACAATTTAATGATTTTTTATAATTTACTGGTTCAAAAGAAAATTTTGATATTAATATCAAGTCAAAGGATAGATGTCAAAATTTCTAAAAACATAAACATATGCTAAAAAACATTTATAAATCGTTTAAAAAAATATTTATTTTGTCCTTGTCACTTTATAGAGTGAACATAGATGTCGCTAAAATCGATAATGATACAAATATGATATGGAGCGGGATAAGAAATTCTTTGTAACCTAGATTTGGTGTATACTATTATCTATTTTGATTATTTTCATTGCTCTCCTCTTTTTTCTAATTAATATTAATAGCTGCTTTTGATTGAGCATTTTGGCAGACAATTTAATTATTTTTTAAAATTATTTGATACAAAGGAGATCTTTGATATTAATATCAAATCAAAAGATAGGTGTCAAAATTTCGAAAACCATACTACATATGCTAAAAAATATTCTTAAATTTTTTTAATTTTGTTTTTGTAAGTCTATATAGTTAGCACTGGTGTCGCTAAAATCGATGATTATGCAAATATGATATGGGGGCTAAAAAAATTCAGTGTAGCCCAGAATTAATGTTTACTATTTTCTTTTTCTGTAATAGACATTTCTTTGCTTTGTTTTCTAATTACTATTAATAGCTGCCTTTGAGGGGGACAT